TCAAAAAAAGAAAAAAAAAAAAAAAAAAAAGACCCAACCTTGGGTGGAGCCCCAGATCATGCTGTGCCCCAAACTGAGACTCAACCTGACTGAGCTTAACCCTGGCTGATATTAGGCTGATCCTCAATTCCTGACTAAGCCCCAATCCAGGCTGAGCGTCAATTCCAGCTGAGCCCCGATCCTAGATTGAGCCTTGATCCCAGGTTGAGCTCCAATTCTTGATTGGGCCCTGACCCCAGCCTGAGCCCTGATTTCCTAAAATGAGTCCTGAACCTAGACTGAGTCCTGATCCCAGCCTGAGTCAAGATACCCAGCCTGATCCTCCCACCCCTGAGTTACTGGGGGACCAGGCCTTGCCCCATGAGCTATGACCTAAGGGCAGGTGTCACTTTGCCCACTGAATCTTCTCCATCCCCAGCTCATGCAACAGCAGACAACAGTTCTGTCCACCTCGGGCAGCTACCTGAGCCCTGGCATGGCCTTCTCCCCCTGCCACATCCAGCAGATTGGTGCCGTCAGCCTTAATGGGCTGCCTGCCACACCCATCGCTCCTGCCTCTGGTGAGGGTCTGCTAGGGGCCCAAGGATGGGAGGGCAGGGCTGGGGCCGGAACCAGGCCCCCCATGACCCTCTGCCACTCCACAGGGCTGCACTCGCCCCCGCTGCTGGGCACTGCCACCGTGCCTGGCCTCGTGGCTCCCATCACCAACGGCTTTGCAGGTGTTGTGCCCTTCCCTGGTGGACACCCCGCCCTGGAAACTGTATATGCCAACGGCCTTGTGCCCTACCCAGGTAACTCGGGGTGATCCCATGGGGCCTACGAGAGTGACAGAGAACAGAAGGACAGGGCACAGGGAGTCCTGACTGAGCAGATATGAGCTGTGGGCACAGGAAGGGAGACTGCAGCAGGAACTGTGCATCTGGATGTTTCTGGGTTCAAATTCCATTTCGGTGGACCAGAGGATGATTTGCTTATCTGGGAAATGGGGCAAATATCGTCAGTCACCTGATGAGGTTGCATTGACAATTATAGCAGTATATAAAATGCCGAACACATCACTGTACAAAGCACAGCACTATAAATCTTAATTATTAATTGCTACCATTTGGGAAGATATCAATACCTGTATTCATTCATTCATCCATTTTTTCATTCCATAAATATCGACCACGCACTTATTTAGTCTGCGCCTGCCCTCATGAGGTGGCACTCACAATTTTTGGCACCCCCACCCATGATTGTAGGGCAAGCATCGTCCAGCACCTTATGTATGTGAAGTCAGTCATCTGTATTTCCACTAGGGAGGAGAATTTGTTTTTGACTTTGTATTTTGAAATGAATTGGAGGCTCACAGGGAGTTGCAAAAATAGTACAGAGTGGTCCGGTGTACCCTTTACCCAGCTTCCTCGATGCACACGTTACATAACGGTAGTACGCTGTCACACCAGGGAATTGACAGGGGTACCATACAATGAACTCAACTCCAGCCCATATGCGGATATCACCAGTTCTTACACGCACTTGTGTGTGTGTGTGGTTCTGTGCCATTCTGTCACAGATGTAGACTCGTGTAACCATCACAGACCAGGTACAGAACTGTTCCGTCTCCACCAAGTAACTCTTTCATGACGCCACTTTACAGCCGCCACCACCACCACTGTCTTCTAGCAGCCTCTCTCCATTCAAGCACAGTTTTTTGGCTGAATTTTTCCCCAGACTCACCAGCTTTGGTGGCCTGGATAATCTCTCCCTTCCCCCCACCTCTTCCTTTAGTGACAGCTGGAAGGTCACAGCTGGTGGGGAGATGCATAGGGTGTCCAATGAGTAAACTGTGGGGAGGGAGACAGGGCAGGGGACGGGGGCAGGTTGTGATCGGGGCAGAAGTCCTGGTGTATCCAGAGAATGAAGGGAGAGTGAGGGCTGTCCCTGAGAAGGAAGGGGTCAAGATAGGGAGAGAGAGATGGGGTGGTGGTTAAACCTCTCTGGAGTCCGAGTTAGACTCCTGCCATTTTCTCTCTGGCCCTATGCGAGTGGCTTCACCTCTCTGAGCCTCAGTTTTCTCGTCTGTAAAATGGAAGTCGTACTGATAAAGGGTTTAGCGCAGAGCTGAAGCTGGGGCAGATGTTTGTTGCTCTTTCCGACTCTTAAGGACTGAGTGGGAGGAGCAGGTGGATGGGAGACTTCCTCTGCCTCCGCCCCACTCGGCCCCTCCATCTGTCCCGCAGCCCAGAGCCCGACCGTGGCCGAGACACTCCATCCTGCCTTCTCCGGAGTCCAGCAGTACACAGGTAGCGAGGAAGCCGGCCAGCCCTGCTTGGCCCCGCCCCGCCCCTTCTTTCTTTGCATAGCCACGCCCACCAGCCACGCCCTGGTTCTGGCCCCGCCCCAGGGGCGTCCCCTCTGCTGTCCACGCCTCCTGCCTCTGGCCCCGCCCCCTCAGGGCCCACCCCTGGCCCTGTTCCTGGCCCGGGTCCTGCCCCCAGCTACACCTCCAAAACTGAACTCTCCCCTTAAGCCCTGCCCTTTGCCATAGCCCCACCTTCTCATGCTCTCTGCTTGGGGTAGGGGGGCTCCTCTTTACCATACCTCTGGCCCTGGCGCAGTCCCGCTCTTAGCCCCCCCCTTTCCCCCGCCCCCCTTCAGCATCTGGCGCCACTCCCCTAGCGTCCTGCCTCGACTCTGACCAGCCTCTGCCAAGGCCCCGCCCCTACCTCTGGCTCTCCTTCCTAAGGCCTGGCTGTGGCCCCGCCCCTCAAGTCAGGTCCCTGACCTACCCTCTCTTCTCTGGGACCTCGGCCCCGCCCTCTGCCGTGGCCCCGCCCCTCGAGCCGTGGCCCCTCCTCCCTGTGGCCTCGGCCCTGACCTCGCCGGGCGCCCACCCCGCCTCACGCCCCGCCTCTGCCCTGTGTCTCGCTCCGGTCTCCGCAGCCATGTACCCCACCGCGGCCATCACGCCCATCGCTCACAGCGTCCCCCAGCCGCCGCCCCTTCTGCAGCAGCAGCAGCGAGAAGGTGAGGCTGCCGCGACCTCCCCTGGGTGCCGGCCCCGCCCTCTGACCACCTCTCCACTTGTAGGTCCCCGGGCCTGGGCTGGCCTCAGGGACCCGCGAGGCTAAGAGTGCGGCCTGGGAGCCAAACAGGCCTGAGTCCGAGTCCTGACGCAGCGGCTCGCTCCCTGGGTGTTCTCGGACGACGGAATCTCCCTCTCTAAGCCTCAGTTTCCTCCTCCGGAAAGGGGGAGCTATGCTAGCCGCGACTCTGTTGGAATAGCAGCGGCCTGCTACCTGTCCTCTCCAAAACGGAGTGATTTTCTGAATTTCTGGAGAAGAAACCCTTTTTGAGGTTGGGGCATGGGGTGATGAGGTATCTCGGGTAAACTGAGGCCTCCCCAGTAAAACCAAGGCTGTCGAGGGAGGGAAGGGTTAGGTTCTTTGTGTGTGTGTCTTTTTCCGTGTCTGGCAACGGACCGCAACCCTCAGTGCTGCCCCCGTACCGGACCAGGACCAGCAACGGGATGGCAACCCTCGGTGTTACGCCCACACCTTGCTCAGCCAGTGAGCGGGAACCGGTCTGTATGTGGGATCCGAACCCTCGGCGGGAGCGCCGCCGCGCTTCCCAAGCGGCGCACTATCCAGTGCGCCACCGGGCCGGCCCAGGGTTAGGTTTTTGAGCCAGAGTTCAAATCCACCCAGTTCTGAATGGGACGTCATAAGGAAGGCGCCTAACTGCTCTGTGCCTCAGTTTCCTCATCTGCAACACGGGCGACCATCTGTGCAAGAAGGTGTTAGTGAGAAGCGAGCAGCTGCTGGTTCCTGACACGTAGTAGGTGTTCAGCACCCGGGGAATCCCTCCCTCTCTTTAATCCACCTACTGTGTGTGTGTGTGTGTGTGTGTGTGGTTGGGGGAGTGTCCTGGGGGGAGGTGACCAGCTAGAAAAGCCTCAGACCATCAAGGACAAGGGATCTCAGTTGATGGCCTGGCGCGTGGACTGAGTTCTTTGAGCCTCTGCCCAATTTCTTGCTAGCCCTAAGCCTGTGGATTTGGGGGTAGGGGGGCACTGCCAGGGTGGAGGAACTGAGCCTTGGAGACAAGCCCTCGGCTGAGCAGAGTTCCCCCCCCCCCCCCCGGCTGTGCCAACCACCTTGCCTATCATCCGTCAGCAGGAGCTTCAGAAAGGGCTTGGCCACTTAGTGTCACTGTTTCATTTTGGATGACTCCAGCCTGGGTGCCCCACTCCCTGTCCCCTTCAACTCCATCCTCAACCTGGACTGAATGGGTGAATGCTGATTTAAATACAGCCCGTGCTACTGCAACACTACGTATGCAAAAAGTCACCCCAGTAGGCGCAACCTCACAATCCAAACCACGGGGATTGTGGAGAAGAGAGTCAGGGGTACAACATTCAAAACTTTGTCAGCAACAGGTTAAAAAAAAAAAAAAAAAAGATGGGAACCTAATAAAAATGACTGTATCGCTTTATACGTTTAATGGTTAAGAAATGCACGAATACTCCAATAAATACTGCGCTTTATCTTGGAAAAGACCCAAAGTTTGCACGTGGAGGTGGCCCCCAAAGGGGTGCAGCATGTGAGTTACTGTAAAAGGGTAGAGGGAGGGTTGTCTGAAATGAGACGAAGCGTGGTAACCCCAGACGGGGAAGGGCGTAGCTGGTTACACAGTTGGGTAGATATTTGGGTGTGTGTACATGCAGTTTGTGTTTTCTTATGAGGTTCGGTTCAGCTGGATACAATTTTCTGTACTCACTGAGTGGGGTTTTTTTTTGAGGGGGGAGGATGAAATAGCTCATAGCAAATGCAGAATTCATGTTATGCTCAAAATTGGTCCATAAATGTCCATTGCGTTGGAACAGACTTGCATTTTAAAAACAAGCATTATAGCAGAGCTATGATCCTAATCAGGAAGGTGAGGGGTGGGTGTGAATGTCTAATCTCGGATTTTGTATTTCCTTGGGTGGGGAATATTCATTTCGGGAGGGTGGGGGGATTACCCTTATTTGGGGCAGCGAGGGAGAAAGTTATCTTTAGGTTTGGGGTTAGCAGCAGGTTTGGGGCACTTTTTATGACTTCGGATAATCAAGGTTTTAAAATGCTATTATTATTTATAGCTTTCATACTAGCTATGCATTGGGGATTATTTGGGGGAGGGGATTGTTTTGAGGATTATCTGTGTTTTTAAACACAAATTATTTCCGGTTGGTATAATTATATGTGGTTTCAGGATATCTGTGGTTTGGAACTGGAGAAGTATCGCTTTATTTTACCTGTTACTTTTGTATCATCTGAGTTTTGAAAATGTTACAAGATTCGGGGAATCATTCCTATCTGGGGCTTGGGACCGGGGAATTATTGTTTTCTTTTATTCTGTGATCACCAGACTTTTTTAAATGATGGTTTTATTTTAGAACAGTTTTATGCTTACGGAGTTATTGCAAAGATAGTACCAAGTTTCTATATTCACCACACCCAGGTCATCTGACTTTTGCAAATGATCTGGAGTTGGAGGTTTAGGGATGGATTTTCTGAGAGTTCGGGGTTATCTGGGGGTTTTGGATTTTCCGAGGTCTGCATATGAGGATTGATTTGGCTTGTGGGAGGAAGGGATTGATTATCTGAGTTTTGTCAATTATCTGGAGCCTGAGAATTCTCAATGGTTTGGAGTATCTTGAGTGTAGGATTATGTCACATGGGCAAGGGACCGGTGTGCCCTGCCGCCCCTCCCCAACCCCGTCCACATCCTCTTCTTTCTGGGTGTCTGGGGCACCCCTCTCCCGACAGCCGGAAGTGCCAGCTGCAGGCTCCGGACCCACGCCCCTCCCCTGGGGGGGTCTGCCTCCTCTCCTTGGGGGCTTTATGTCTTTCTCTCCCCCACCTGCAGGTCCCGAAGGCTGTAACCTGTTTATCTACCACCTCCCCCAGGAGTTTGGAGACACGGAGCTGACGCAGATGTTCCTGCCCTTCGGCAATATCATCTCCTCCAAGGTGTTTATGGATCGGGCTACCAACCAGAGCAAGTGTTTCGGTGAGTAGCTGCCGGGGGCGCCCCCTGCCCGCGGCCCTGCCCCGCCCCCCGGACCTGGGACGTGCCGGGAGGGTGTGGCCGGCCACGGGACAGGTCTGGTCCAAAATATCACATTTATACTTTGAACGGGCACTTACTGAGCACCTACTGTGTGCCAGGCACCTCCCACCCATCGTTTCTAAGGCTCTTCATTCAACACATAGATGCAGTGTGCACCTACTGTGTGCCGGGCACCTCCCACGCATCGTTTCTAAGGCTCTTCATTCAACACATAGATGCAGTGTGCACCTACTGTGTGCCGGGCACCTCCCACGCATCGTTTCTAAGGCTCTTCATTCAACACATAGATGCAGTGTGCACCTACTGTGTGCCGGGCACCTCCCACGCATCGTTTCTAAGGCTCTTCATTCAACACATAGATGCAGTGTGCACCTACTGTGTGCCGGGCACCTCCCACGCATCGTTTCTAAGGCTCTTCATTCAACACATAGATGCAGTGTGCACCTACTGTGTGCCGGGCACCTCCCACGCATCGTTTCTAAGGCTCTTCATTCAACACATAGATGCAGTGTGCACCTACTGTGTGCCGGGCACCTCCCACGCATCGTTTCTAAGGCTCTTCATTCAACACATAGATGCAGTGTGCACCTACTGTGTGCCGGGCACCTCCCACGCATCGTTTCTAAGGCTCTTCATTCAACACATAGATGCAGTGTGCACCTACTGTGTGCCGGGCACCTCCCACGCATCGTTTCTAAGGCTCTTCATTCAACACATAGATGCAGTGTGCACCTACTGTGTGCCGGGCACCTCCCACGCATCGTTTCTAAGGCTCTTCATTCAACACATAGATGCAGTGTGCACCTACTGTGTGCCGGGCACCTCCCACGCATCCTTTCTAAGACTCTTCATTCAACACATAGGCACATTGTGCACCTACTGTGTGCCAGGCATTGTTTCGGGTGCTGGGAACTTAACTGTGAATGAAGCTGACAAAAATCCCTTCGGCGTCTGGTAGAATGCTCTCCAGTGATGGAAGTGTTCTACATTCGCGCTGTCTGATAAGGGAGCCACCACTGCCATGTGGCTACGGAGCACTTGAAATGTGGTCTGTGCCACCAAAGAACTGGATTTTAAATTGTTATTTAATGTTAATGAATGTAAATGTGAATAACCACGTGTGGTCCATGGCTGCCGAATTGGGAAGCACAGGACTAGGGGAGGGGATAGGAATAAACAAACGTAGTGTATAGGTCAGGGAGTTTTACATGATGTGAAGAAAAATAAGACTGCTAAGAAAATCAAGTCTGATAAGATTGAGGTGAACGCTTTATTCAGGGGGTCAGGAGGAGGCGATGTTTGTTGAGACCTACCTGATGAGGAGACAGCTGTGGGAAATCTGGGTGAAAAGGCGCTCCAGGCAGGGGAAACAGCCTGTGCAAAGGTCCTGGGGCAGGACCATGTCTGGCGTGTGGCTGCAGCAGAGAGAGGAGGGGGACAGCGGGAGGAGGGAGGGCAGGGAAGGGACGTGGCAGGTGGTGCAGGGCCTTCTGGGCTGCAGGGAGGAGTTTCTTATCCCCAGAGACAGAAGAAATTAAGGCTCAGAGAGGGGCTGCAACTTGTTCAAAGTCACAGCAGGAAAGAGACAGAACCTAGATTAGAACCAGCCTGTTTGACCCTCGAATCTGGACTCTTAACCCCACACCATCCCATACAAAGGGTCTCAGCTCTTGACTATATATTAAGTGCCTCCTGTATGCATTTAGCATCCAACCATAAAAAGGGAGAATTGTCCCAATTTACTTAGGGAGGAAAGAGAGGCACAGAATGATCAAGGGACATGCTTGAGGTCACACAGCAAATATGGGACCCCTGCCAGTGCGCAAGACCCCCCACCTCCATTTCCAGGAACAGGAAATGCGTGGACGAAAGCCCACCCAGTCACTTTCAACAGCATGATCTTGAGGGCATCTTATGCATTCTCTGAGCCTCAGTTTCCTCATCTATATAATGGGGGGAGTTAGGGGAGATAATAGGTATAAAGACATCAAACCCTGTCCCCAGCTCCAGATTTACCCATGGCTCTCCTTAGGCCCTGGCAGGGCAGACAGGACCTGCTCCCTTGGCCCCACTATCTCTGCCTCACCTCCCACCAGAGCCTCACAGGGTCTCTACTCCCTGCCTCAGGCCTGTTCATGTGGCCCTCTCCCCCTGGAGGGTCCTCTAGGTCCTGCATAGTCCCCCAGGAAGCCTCTGAGGACCATGAGGTATGGGGCAGGAGGCAGGGCCATGGAGGTGGCAGGTGGAAGGGAGTTTGGGTTGTTAGAAGCTTAAGGAAGGTTTTTCTGAAAGTGGGGCTGGAGCATTTCTGATGGCCTCGGGGAAGACACTGGGGTAGAGAGACTGCCAGAGACAAAGAGAAAAAGAGAGACAGAGACAGGAAAGAAAAAAAGACAGAGAAAGAGGGATAGAGAGAAAAGAAAAGACTCAAAGACACACAAAGAGAGAAACAAAGACACACATGCAGAGTCAGATGGAGAGGCAATATCTCCCGTGGGCAGAGATACAGAGATCTCAGAGGAAGCGAAAGATTTGCATCAAGAGATTAGAAGGATGCAGGCAGGTCAGGCCAGTTGGCTCAGTTGTTTAGAGTGTGGTGCTGATAACATCAAGGTCCAGGATTCAATCCCGGTACTGGCCAGCTATCAAAAAAAAAAAAAAAAAAAAAA